ATTTCTTAAGCTCATTTTTGTAATCAGATAGTATAGGTCATTTAATGATTTTTAATACGTTTATGATTTTAATTGTCTTTTATTTTTTTAAATAATTCATTGTCTCTTTACTCAAAACTACTTTTTGAATTAGATGTTATGATTAAGCATATTCTCGTGCAAAGTATTATCTTCCTCTCTCTTCATTACGCACGAATTGAATATGGATGAAAATGTTTTCGGATCATAGTATCTTTGAAAGTTAATTCTAAATTGATCAAGTTGTAGATCACTTTAAAGAAAAATTATTATGATAGTCTCAAAACAGAGATGTTGCGAACATGTTAAACTGAAATCTTGATTGGACTTGGGTGTTAATATGTGTAACGTTGAGGGGTATGAATATATATATATATATATCAATTTTAAGTTTATTCAATAGTTGGTTCCTTAAATTTTGGTCCTTTTTCAGTCCCCCTACAGAAAAAAAGCTGGCAAATGCTGCGTCACTGTTTCTTTCATTTATCTCTCCAATTTCTTCCATGTAAAATTTTTCATCAATAATTTTTTAATAAAAAATATGTTGAAAACTCTAATTTTTTGCAATTTAATTGCGTGGTACTAAATTATCTTAAGTTATATATATATATATATATATATATATTCATCTGACAAATTTGTCTTGAATTGAATTGAATTGAATTGCTAATCAAGTACCAAATCTTTCAAGTTAATCATCATCCATATTTTACTCATTATTAATTAACTTAAATTATTTTAAACGTGTATTGAAATTTTATAGTACATAAAAATAATTCATTATCATTTATTAGTAAATTCAAAAGCAGCAATTTACAAACAATGGGATAGTTTTACATTGAAGAAAATAAATTAATAATTTACCATTTACATGTATTATTAATGGTTGTTACATATTCCAATAAAATTTTAGTTATTTTCATCTAAATAATTAATATTTTTATGCATTTAAATTGAACTTTGAGTTCTTGTTAGAATAAATATTATATTATAAATAATATCTATATGCTAACTAATTAATAAAATTATAAATGTTTCTCACTCCCTCCCTCTCTCTCTCTCTCCATCATCTTCTTCTTTTATTTAAGTAGCAGACACTACAACAGCCAATTGCCAAAAAGAAGTGATATATGCTTAGTCACCATACACTATCTCTCATTCACGCTATAATCCTTCCATTTCACAATTTTGTTGCCAAAATCTCTCAGATTCTCTTGCTCTGCTGCTTCATTATCTTGCAACTCTACAAGCTCTTCTGGGTACATCTGTATCTTCGTCAGCTCTTCTCTGTCTCTCTTCTCAATTTCTGTTCTATATACTCTTTTCTCCCCGCACTTCATGTAGCTGCAATTCCTGCTCCAGACTCTTCTGTGCTAAGCTTTCCAAGTTTTTGTGCTGTATCTCGGAACGTTTCATCTTCTAATAATGTAACATTGATCTTAGTGTTTCTGTCGCTTCTCTTCTTTCTTTGATTGATGCCCATTTGCTCAAAAGTATCATAAACCAATTCGTATTACTGTTTGAATCATGGGTTCTCGCTAATCTTTGTCGTTGTCTGTCTGGGTTTCTTCTTTTTGAATTTGAAGGGCCTTCTTTTTCTGGTTTGTTAATGCCCATTTGCTTGAAATTGTCTTAAGCCGTCTAAAAATGCAGTTTGTGATGATGGGTTTTCGTTAAATTTTGTCTCTTTTCCTGTCAATCAAGGCCTTCCTGAGTTAAAGTTTGACTCGAGAGTTTTTATCAATCTTAGCATGTGAACTAATACCATGTAAATCATCAGTCTGCTCAACTTTTTTGGTTATTGCTGTACTTTTGGCGGGATTAATTGATGAACAAGATTTTTTTTTTTTTTGACAATGAAGTAAAAAGAAAAGTTTAATGGATCTAACTTCTGTTGAAGTCAATCCTTAGTGGAGATCTGACCATATGGAGAGCATCTGCTCTTTTCGTTAATCTGGATTTTGTGTTATGGATTCTGTTCGTTAGGATTCTTGACTTTCACTCGCCTATGGAATTGAAGTAGTTTGGTTCAGTAACTAATTGATTCTTTTTGTTCTTAAAGCATATATACCTCGATCATTCTTTATAAACTCCTCCAAATGTAAAACTCTTCTATTTTTTTTTTCTTTTTTTGTAGACCTCACTAAAAAGTTAGGTTATACATCAGAAAACCATGAATTTACATATTTTTTTTCTCTTTTGTACTCCTGAAAAGATCAAAATTTCATTCTCCATCTGCCAAAAGTTCTCATACTTACCTCTGCTCATGCAGTTTTAGCTTTGATATTGGCCTCTCGAGTCCCTTGAATCTTTGTCATTATTGTATTGTGTTTTTTGCATCTGATACTTATTTAGCATTTTGTCAATCCAAAATATTAAAAGGGAAAAAAAAAAAAAGAAAAAAAGAAAACAGAGAAGGCATCAATCACTACCTATTTGCATAAGATTTGTATCATGGAAGAGACATTTGTTCCCTTCCGTGGAATAAAGAATGATATCAAAGGAAGGCTTTTATGTTACAAGCAAGACTGGACTGGCGGTCTTCGTGCGGGTATCAGGTTTACCTCCTCATTGTTCAGTTCTGGTCATGCTTACAGTATGGTTTATGACGCCTTGAGTTTTTCTAGCATGGACAGTGGTATTGATTCTTATATGCACGTTAACTTACATGAATGTTTTAATTTCCTAGGATTCTGGCTCCAACAACATATATATTCTTTGCCTCAGCAATTCCAGTTATATCTTTTGGGGAGCAGCTTGAGAGAAATACAGGTGGAACTATGACCGAACTATAAACTAACACTTTCTGCTAATTCATGTTGTTAATAGTCATCTGTTGAAACATGTGAAATCTCTTCACATTTTACAGATGGTTCCTTGACTGCAGTACAAACACTTGCATCAACAGCGTTGTGTGGTATTATCCACTCAGTTGTTGGAGGCCAGCCCTTGCTTATATTGGGGGTGGCAGAGCCAACAGTGTTGATGTATACGTTCATGTTTAACTTTGCCAAGGACAGGAAAGATTTGGGGCAAAAACTGTTCTTAGCCTGGACAGGATGGTAGCTCTTTGACAACCATGCTATTTAGATTATTTACTCAGACTGGTATTCTTGAATGCTAAACCATTTTCTTTAATTTACTCTTTCTCAGGGTTTGTGTGTGGACAGCACTTCTACTTTTCTTGCTTGCTATTCTTGGAGCATGCTCCATAATCAATCGATTTACACGTCTTGCTGGTGAATTGTTTGGTCTCTTAATTGCAATGCTTTTCATGCAGCAAGCAATTCGTGTAAGCACTCTGCAATATTTACTAAATCTAATATCTTTGTTATGATTATGGGGAACGAAAGTGCTAGATTCAAGGTAGTTTGTTCCCTTGAATGTTTCTCTGATCCTCTGGATATTGTTAGTTCAATGTATCAGTGTCTGCAAGAATCATAATATATAATAGAAACTTTTTTCTGTGTGCTTATACTTAAATTCCATAGGGAGTTGTGGAGGAGTTTGGCATACCTCGGAGAGAAAATCCTAATCAAACTGCACTACAACCTTCTTGGCGATTTGGTAATGGAATGTTTGCATTGGTTCTATCCTTTGGCCTTCTTCTTACTGCACTAAGAAGCCGTAAAGCTAGATCCTGGCGCTATGGAACAGGTAGTAACTCTGTAGCTCACTATGAAATATGCTTCCATCACAAGTTGTGGGTTTACGACTTTTCACTTTTTATTTTCTCAAATATACATTCCCAACTTCCCTCACTAAATTTTATTGGCCACTAACTGTTATTTGAAATTTGTAGGTTGGCTAAGAGGATTTGTAGCAGATTATGGAGTGCCACTGATGGTGCTTGTATGGACTGCTGTTTCTTACATCCCAGTTAATGATGTCCCAAGAGGCATTCCAAGGCGGCTGTTTAGTCCAAACCCATGGTCTCCTGGTGCATACTCAAATTGGACAGTTTTCAAGGTGAATCTTGCTAGTTTTTTCAAACATAATGTTTATATATGATACTTACGTTATTACTTTTCTGAAAGATACGCCATGTTGTCTTCAATGTCTTGCACTGGACTCATTGTTGTCTAGTCCTTCAGGAAATGTTGAACGTGCCTCCTTTATATATAGTTGGAGCATTTATTCCAGCAACTATGATTGCTGTGCTTTACTACTTTGATCACAGTGTTGCCTCTCAATTAGCCCAACAAAAGGAGTTCAATCTGAAGAAACCAGCTTCATATCACTATGATCTTCTTCTTTTGGGTTTTCTGGTAAACTTTTGTACTCAATATTGACTTGTTACACCCGTTAAATCCATTAAATTTTTTTTCTTAGATTTGTATAGTTATTTTTTTTTCTTTAAGTCCGAATTTTTCTAATCAGGTTATACTATGTGGGCTTATTGGTATCCCCCCATCTAATGGTGTTATTCCACAGTCTCCAATGCATACAAAAAGCTTAGCTACTCTGAAACATCAGGTATACTTGGTGCACTATGTTCAAATGGACAAATCTATTCTGAACTCAACAGAATTTTTCAACCGCTTATACTTGTATTGTAACGTAGAAGATTTTCTTTATACAAGTTCCTTTTATTCTCCCACTGCAAAGATTTGGTCTTACTAGTTCTCCTGGAAGGAGATCCTTTTCCCTGTTATGTTTTTTTAACCAGTTTCACCTCTTCTTCATTAGATCCAACGATTTTTTTAAAAGATAAACCTATTTCATGTTAGTTTCCTCTACTGAATTATCTTAATTGGTTGAATTGTTATTTTTGTTTATACCAGCTTATGAGGAATAAGCTTGTATCAGCCGCCCGCAAAAGCATGCGCAAAAATGCAAACCTGAGTCAGTTATACCGAAGCATGCAAGAAGCGTACAATGAAATGCAGACTCCCCTTGTCTATCAAATTCCACCTGCTCTGGTAGATTAATCTGCATTCAGCTTTTTTACTGATACAGTGCATGTTATTCTTTCCTCTGGTATCCTCATTTTTACCTCGAACAGGGACTGAAAGAACTCAAAGAATCCACAATCCGCCTGGCCTCAAGTACTGGCTGTATAGATGCCCCCGTTGATGAAACTGTCTTCGATGTTGATAAGGACATTGATGATCTTTTACCTGTTGAGGTCAAGGAACAACGCCTCAGCAATCTTCTTCAAGCATTGATGGTTGGTGGGTGTGTTGCTGCAATGCCACTTCTGAAGAAGATCCCAACATCTGTTCTTTGGGGTTACTTTGCTTTCATGGCCATTGAAAGCTTGCCTGGAAACCAGTTTTGGGAGAGGATACTATTACTTTTTACTGCTCCAAGTCGAAGATACAAGTAAGTTTAATTGGTCTTTCATGTTAGTTCTATCGGTTCTGAGATATGAACTTTCTTATATTACTAACCCATCTGCAGTTATACCCTGAAAACCTCTGCCCTAAACTTTTTGGTGCTTCAGCTTGGTCCTAGATTTATATTTCTCAAAAAGAAAGAATAAGATGTCTGCTTAACAATGTTACGATTACAATGAGCTACCACCACCATTATGCAGAAAAAGAATGAAGTATCTAATTTCCATAACTAACTTTCAGGGTGTTGGAGAATTATCACGCCGCCTTCATTGAGGCTGTACCATTCAAAACAGTATCATTTTTTACCTTGTTCCAGACAACCTACTTGCTTCTGTGCTTTGGCATAACATGGATCCCAATAGCTGGTGTCCTTTTCCCATTGTTAATTATGCTTCTTGTCCCAGTTCGGCAGTATTTGCTGCCCAAGTTTTTCAAAGGTGCCCATCTTCAAGATTTGGATGCTACTGAATATGAAGAAGCTCCTGCTATTGCTTACAACTTGACATTTGAAGTAAGTACTCCACAATTTGTTCATTTCAGCTGATCTTATTTCAATCAGGTTTGACTTTTTTTTTTTTGAGTTTTGTTAAATGAGAACAGATTGGGTTTTAATCTGCATTGCCTTCTTTACTGTGCATTTGAATAAGAAAGGTGCAGCCTCTCAGTTGGAGTATATAATTAGTTCAAGAGCTGAAATGGTTGTAAATGTTGAATGATTGGAATTATCAAAGTTTATATATAATGTTCTTATATGCTAATTTCTGAAGTTTCTTTCTAATCTATGATGCTTCACTTCATGTCTGAGCAGGATGAGGAACCTCAGGCTGGAACTACTAACACTGATTGTGGGGAAATTCTGGATGATATTATCACAAGAAGTCGTGGTGAGATCCGACACATACAGAGCCCTAAAGTAACAAGTTCAGCTTCATCTTCGTTGGAAGATATAAAACCTGTTTACAGCCCAAGACTGTCGCAGAGGGCATACAGCCTGCATATTAGTGAACTTAGAGGGCAACACAGCCCCGGCTTATCTGGAAATGGACTAGAATTAAAGCAAACTCCAAGTCCTGGGCCATCAAACCTTGGACAGTAAAGTTGCTATTCTGATGAGTTCAACAAAGATTGGTGCTCGAGAGGTCTTTACAAGCTCATTTGTTAGTGTTTGTAGTTGTATCTTTCTGTTTTTGCTCCTAACCATATGATATTTGTATTTGTTGCCTTTTCTTGTATCTTTCAAATAGGCTGAGCAGAGGACACATTATGATAATGAAAAAGATATCTATATTTGACTGAAAAAAAGAAAAATAAATTTATTTTACTATCAACATTCATTTTGTACCTGTATTCGCATATCTACCTATATGTACCCGAAGTCATTCATATGTTCACAGAATGTAGCACGCCCCTCATTTCTTCAGGACTAGGAGCTACTGTACTGACCTTACACCTGAAGATAAAGTATAAAGAGTCTGCATCCTACTTAAATAATTAGATCCAAATATCCATCTAATATATTCATACTTTTACATATTACTAATGAGCACTCTGACAGATGAGCATGCAAATTCTAGAAGTTAAATTCTGGTTAATCAAAATGTACTGGGGATCTATTATAGTCCTTGAGAGCTATATTTCATTTATTTGACATATCTTTCAGGATTTTGGCCATTATTTACTTGAAAATGTAATTTAGGATTAAAAAAATAACTTCATAATTTTTATATGCAAACATATCACTTAGTTTTTAAATAGGAATCTATCTGGTTTAAGTAACTTAAAATATCCTAGTGTTTTAAGTATGTTTTTTGAAGTAATTCCGGACAACTTCTTACTTTCAGTCTTATTTCTCAATTAGTGAAGATATCAGGATCTAATGGAGCCAGTAGACAAATTTCTTTTGCTGTTTTTTTTTTTTTTTCTTTTTTTTTTTTACCTCTTTCTTAGAGTTAACTCAGAAACATGAATTGCTCTAGTTTTCCTAGTACAAGCCAGATTACATGAATGTTTATAAGGGAGGTGACTGGACGGAATAACCAGAAACTTGTGCCACCATTCTAGCTGTTTGTGGCTATAAATTGACATGTTTGAATCCTTTGTATGAGCTTCTGCTTCGCTATATTTGTATGTGATAATCATGGTATTTGACTGATTCTTGCATTCTGTAGAATAAATAAATTGGTCCAGCATCTGTCATTCTATATTCTACAACATGTTAACTGGCAAAAGTTTGTAGTGCATGCATCTTTCTTTTATCAGCTTCTGTAATCACCTGCCGTGCACCTCTCCTAAAAGCAAGTCCTCTAAGAAAGGAGAAACTGATTTGAGTTAGGTTCATGTCCGTCGAGTGCCAATAATGAGTTTCTGATGGCAAGTGGGAATCTCTTTAATTTTCCATGCCGAAAGTGAATCTCTTGTCTCTTGTCTAATTTTGAGTGAAGTTAGAATCTGCTTTAGTTTTATGTGTACGATGGCACTGCCTTGGCTGGCTAAATCTACTGGTTTTAGGCTACTAGCTGGGTGGTGGCAGCAGCTACCCAGTACTCTGGTCCCCAGTTGATAAAATTTTGCCTCCTATTTTGTTTACTCAGTTTAATTCCCTTTCATTAGATTTGAACATGATAACTACAGAACCATACGATCTGTGGATAACATAACTACTACCTAGTCCTCTTTATTTTCTTTCTCTATCTATTATATTTCAAAAAAACTAATTTGAACCAGGATTTGATCTAGATTCTCCAATAATAATCATCAAAAGACTTCACCAACTAAGACAAGTTCGTACGTCTCTGATGTGTTTGAAATGCTTATTATGAATGGCACTATGATTTCAGTGCTTGTTATCTCTGCACTTGATTGGAAAGAAAAAAAGATCACAACGAATTTTTGGATACTGACCAAAGATTCTTCACGACTCACCGGGTGAGAATGAAGAAGCTTAGAGAGGTTGATGGTGGTAAGTACACATGATTTTCCACTATCTTTACTATCAGATTCAGAACAAGAGTGACCCAATTGTTTGTTTTTTTTTTTTTTTTTTTTGTATTTGTAATTAACAGATTGATTAGACTTCTAATCATGCTTGGGTAATGATAAAGATTGATTAGTAACCACTAAGGAAAAATGTGTTGTGTAAAGAGACCTGTACATCTTTGCATGAAAAAAGCGAGCTGCATTTGGATTTATATGATCATTAGTGAGGATGGTAAAAGCAAGCATCCACAAGCTCTTAACCCCATCAGTGCATTATTTTTTTTTTTCAAGTAGCTTTTAGCGATATAAATTATTTACAGTTTAACCTCAGGTAAAAAGCCAAAAGTAGAGTGTTGCTCGTGTATTGGTTGAAGTTTCAAGGGACGAGTAATTGAATATTAGGTTTGTCATAACTTTATAGATTAAATACTTCCCAACTTTTAAGAAAAATTAAATGCAATAAATATAAATTAATTGATATGAATATTTTAGGTCACTGAAATGTTTATTATAAAATAAAAAATAAAGAATAGTCCAAACACTTTTAAATATATGAGTAATAAATTTCAACCTCATGCATATATATATGATGGATGATGATGCCTAGTGATTTAGTGAAGCAGCATATATTATTAGTTTCATTTTTTTTTTTTCATAACGAAACTAATATAATTATATTACAAGAACCAAAATAGTCAAATAAAAAAAGTTACGAGAATTTATTTAAAATAATCATGTGTATGTATGAAAATTTAGCAGTTAATATTTTTATATTTTATTTAAAATTAAAAAAAAAAATTATCATTTTATTAGTATATTATAAATTAACAGTGATTAACATATAATATTTAATTAAATAATATTATTTAAAATCTAATTAATACAGACTAATTGGTCCAACATATTTTTGGCAAACACTTGATTTGAAGCAGCAGCTGCAGTGCACGTTAAATAATTATACAAGACAGATGAGGATCTAACTTAAATTAAAAACATTCTTTAATTGTCATTGAAAGAAAAACTTCATCTTCTATTAAGCAGACCAATTCAGGAATATGCTAATGCTAAAATTATACGGCGTCTAAAATTATATTATTTATTTTCTTGTTATTTTAAAAATATGCAACACTTCTATATTATAATTAAGAAATATATTTATTTATTTTCTTTTTTAAAAAATTATTTCCCTTTGCTAAAATCATAATTTTTTAATTTATATTATAAAAAGCGAAATTAAAAAAAAAAAAAAGAAAAAAAGAACCGTTCGTTAGGTAAAAGCGGCGTGAATCGGTGCGTTTTTGTTGACGCAGAGCAAAATAAAAGTTCATCTACCTTCCCCTCTGTTAAGTTAGCGTGTTGTTGCAGGTCAGAGGCTAGAGCGGAGAATGCGGCCAAATATCGTCTTGTTTGGTGACTCAATAACCGAGCAATCTTTCGGATCAGGTGGCTGGGGTGCTGCTCTTGCTGACACTTATGCTCGCAAGGTCTCTTCTCATATTGTATTATATACACACACCATGCAGACATTTTCTGTCATCTCCTTTGCTTGCTCAGCTTCCCCACTATACATGCACAGGCTGATGTAATATTGCGTGGCTATGGTGGATACAACACTAGATGGGCATTGTTCTTGTTGCATCACCTCTTCCCTCTCGTAAGCTCTTCTCTCGCGTTTCTACTGCTTAATAATTTCTTCTCTCTTTTTTTTTTTTTTTCTATTGAAATTTTCAGTTCATGTTTTGCTAATCTATTGAAATTATCTTCATGAGATTTCTCCTTATGCATGTCAAGTTGCACGATTCGCTTCCTGCTATGTAGATTTAGATAATGGGGGATTGGCCACGCAGATCTCTGCGATTGAATCTTATTTGTAAATGACTGAATGTGGTGCGTGCACAAACTTTTAGTTATGCTATAATGGAAGATCGCATGAACTGGAAACAGAGAATCTCGAGTTTAGTAATTTGATTAATGATTTGCGAATAAACTCACGAACGTGAAATCAAGCATTGTTAATATGTCAAGATAGGTCATGATGGAAATGAGAGTGTAATACAAAAATAATTATGGACATTGGCAGTGTGAAGATCAAACAAGTCCTCGCAGGTGCATTGAGCGATGGATGCAGACCTGAGTTCTATGATGAAAAAAAATTTGATTAAACTTGTCATATAGTAATATATACATATATATTAATCAATGAAAATTGATGACATAATAACTTTGAAGGCTTTTAAGGAGTATATTTTTAGCATGTAGAGCTTATGGATAAAATTAGCATATATAAACACTTCTTTTGATGGGGAAAGGGGGTGGAGTGTACAGGTTAGAAGGAACTTGCAGGACTGGGAAATTGATGAATATTGTAATTTACTCAATGTGCTGGCAGAAATTAACATGGATAATCAGAAGAACAGGAGGATATGGAGGTTGGATGAGAAGAATGGATTTTCGGTGGATATGGAGGTTGGATGAGAAGAATGGATTTTCGGTGAAGTCCTATTACAAGTTTATAACCAAAAAGGACAACAAGAATAATATGACAGCCCCATTCAGACAAATCTGAAAAATTGCAGCCTCCCCCCCCCCAGGATGACTTTTTTTGCTTGAGAAGCCTCAAGAGGAAGTATTTTGACTATTGATATGTTAAAAAGCCGGGGTAACATCTTTGTTAATCAATGTTTCTTATGCAAGGCTGATGAGGAGACATGTGACCGCATCTTATTATTTTGCCCGGTTACTCATAACTTATGGATCTCGGTGTTCGGGTTGATGGGAATGAGGTGGGTTATAGCGGATAATGTAAGTAAAGAATTATGGGCTTGGGCAGGTATTTGTAAAAAGAAAAAAACATTTATTTTTTATTCTACTTACTATTTTTTGGGTTGTGTAGAAGGAAATGAATGCTAGAGTTTTTGAGAGAATAGATGATTTTATACTTTTGCATCCACTTTATTGAGTCATGACATATTAGATTGGGATGACTTGGGGTGCGTCATTGACCACCTAATTGATATATAACTACTATGTAATTGGGTGGTACTCTCTTATTACCTTTTGTGAATAATAACTCTTTCATCTTTTATTTTTTTTAAAAAAACACTTCTTTTGAGAGATAGGTGGGTGGATGTGCCCTCCTAATCCTCTCCCACCTCTATCAGCCCTTGAGTACTTAAAAAAATTCTGGTTTCTTTTCATGGTATGTTGGTTTGGTGCATGGGGTCTCAATGATATTGTAAATTCAGGCACTTTCCCTTTTCTCCTTCTTAGGACTCTACCAAGCCTCCAGTTGCTACAACAATTTTCTTTGGGGCCAACGATGCAGCTCTGCTGGGAAGAACCAATGAGCGACAGCATGTCCCTGTTGAAGAGTATAAGGACAATCTCAGGAAAATTGTTAAGCATTTGAAGGTCCTTTTTTCCTTTAATATTTATTCAATTTGTTTGGTATGAGGATTTTCACAAGTTAAAATATTTTTTTTTCTAGAACTAGATGCTATATTCATTGTTGTCTTCATCCATTCTATACTCATGTCTCCTAATTTGTGTCCTTGGTATTTAAATGATTTATTCATCCGTTCAAGAGGCACACCAAATAAATTACAAGCATTTACAAATGACATAATAACTTGATTGCATATGTAAAAATTGAACAATAGAATAGACACAAAGATATGACATACTATATTAGAAAGCATTCAGTCCTTCATAACCTAACTATTCTCCATGTTAATACCATTATGTAGGTACTACTAAAAGGAAATTTGAAAACTACTGTTATGATAATTATAAACTAAAATAGCCTAAATGGAACTCGAATCTGTTAAACCTACCAGAAGAGCCTAAATAAATAAGAAGAATCAAACAAATCGTAAAATAGTCTTCAATACTAATGTTTTCCTTCTGCATAACATGTTTCATCATTGTATTTTCTTTTCATTTCATTTATTTTTTTTCTTTGAATCCCATTTGGTGATGATTTCAGCAATAAATTTTGAATCAAGATTTGCTTAGTTGCAAGAGTACCACATGTCATGAAACATCAGTTAAGTTTTATGATGTATAGCAAATTAGGATTTATTTGCCTACTTAAAGATTTGTGGTTAAAGTTTACATCACCCCTAGCAGACATAACTTTTAAGAAGTTTTAAGGATTATTCTTAAGAGTTTGATTGCATCACTCAAATGGAAAATTGAGGAACTCTATAAAGTACTTAATTGAGTAGCTAAAGTTTATCTCAAAAAGTGAAATTACAAGGTACTTATAATATTTCGTATGTACCCTTAACTAAACAGTTTTAAACTAAGAAATTCTAAAAATAATATAATTAGGAAGAAATAATACTATTAATACAAACAGGAAAACTAAATATTTATCAGAATAAAAATTTTCAGAATAAGTACACGAACAAAATCTTAAAGTTTAGTAGAGTTACAGCAGTAGGCTCTTAAATAGTATAATAGGTTTACATTTAATAGAATTATGGTTTCTAATCTATTTAGGCAATCTAGAGTTAATTCATTATGCATCATTCTCTTCTTGTTGGAGAAAACATGTCCATGAGTTTTGAAGTGGCAAATGATGTAAAATATTAATCTTCAAGTTCCCCATGAAAATTTAACAAGCTCTGTGCTTAATCATTTTCTTCAGTGGTAAACATATTGGAAATACATAATTTTTTAGGATTGTGATATCCTGGAGGTATGATGAAATTAATGTATTGATCAATTGTTGCATCAAGTTTCTCTTTACATGGAACTTCCGTGAAATTAATATATGGTTTCTAATTGTTTTAGGAGTGCACCAAGATGTTGTTTAATATCATTTTCAACAGCTGACTCCAATTTTTTAATTCTTCAACTTTTGGGTGTACTTAGTTACTGACATGTTTGAACTAATTCATTATGTATCATTCTCTTCTTGTTTAAAACGCGTCCATGAGTTCTGAAGTGGCAAATGATGTAAAAATATTGATATTCAAGTTCATCATGAAAATTCAACAACCTCTGTGCTTAATCGTTTTCTTCAGGGGCAAACATATTAGAAATACATAATTGTTTTAGGAGTGTGAAACTCTGGAGGTATGATGAAATTAACATATTGATCAATTGGTGCATCAAGTTTCTCTTTACATGGAACTTCCATTGAGTTGTCTTAAAAATTAACTTCGATCCATTTATTTCAAAAAGATAAAAATTAACTTTGATTCATTCTTCAGCCACATTTTTTATTTAAAGGCATCCTAAGAGTGAATTCTATGACCAAATACTCAATGTTTCTTGGAATTGGATATTTATAATATTCTTCCATGTTAATCATTGCTTGGTATATTAGGGCTATTGTTGCAGGAGATTACCAAATTAACTCTCTTTTAATCCTAGCTCTTAATTCAGACTAAATTGAGATTTTGTTTGACTATCATTTTCTACAGCTGACTCCAATTTTTTAACTCTTCAAACTTTTGGGTGTACTCAGTTACTGACATGTTACTCTGGTCAAAGTATAAGCTTGATCATGAAGTTTGTTAAAGTAGTCAGAAGGTAAATACATTTCAGAAAGAGTGGCTTTCATCTCACTTCATGTTTCAATTGTTAGTTGTCTTTTTTTTGTTATATTCTCATCAATATTATACCTCCACATTTTTGCGAGTCAAACCAACTTTATTTTGTTAGATCTAACTCTTTGTGTATCTGGCATGTCATACTAGTTATATTATTATTTCATTGAGTTAAGCCAATCGATGAAGAAATCAAGTGATACGGAGCCCAAGATTAACAATACAATCCGAACCACACATATACAGTGGATGTGGAACTTATGATTAACTTGCCATCCAAACCCACACATCTACTCTTTACTCATAAGAGACGATTCTAGTCACAACAACCTTAATTACCGTTGCCAACCTATTTATCTTCTGACAAGGGGTTTCATCCGCAGGAATGTTCACCTACAATGCTAATTGTTCTAATAACTCCACCACCAGTTGACGAGGAAGGGCGAAAAATATATGCACAGTAAGATATTTGTTATTTCCTGTTCGTCTTCCTCCTTTTTGTATCATTTACACCTTTTATGTTCACCAACTTTTAAGAAATAATTTTTCTTCAGTGTTTTTTCCTATCTTATTTTTGCAATCCTTTTTTCAATTATGTATCAGTTACATCTCCTTTATATTTTTGCATGTGTGCTGTTTCTCTACCTTTCCATTGAAATCTGCAAATCAGAAGTTCACATTCAACAACTAGGTTCTCTTATTAGAACTGTTTTACTTCAGACTTGCATAGTCCTGAAACCTTCGAGGCAGTTTTGCATTAAGTGCTTCCACTAGTTTATTTCATTTTGATATATTTAAAATTACTTGAGAATATTATTATTACTGCTTTAAGGTGTTTATGCCATTATTCCAATACCTAGCTCTGTACCATCATCAACTCACCTTGCATTCGACCACGTCTGCTACTATTTTTTTTTTGTCTTGTGTTCTTTCGTAATGCATCTCTATTTACCATCATCCAGAGTGCTTTATGATCAGCCTGATATCACTTCCCTAAACAATGCTCTTAAGTCTAGTGATACTTTTCATCGCATCAATCTGCCCAGCAATACTCCCTCCATTATCTTGGCTTGCAGTGATGCACTTCCAGTTAGCTTTTGGACTTCTGCTTTAAACACTTTGGCTTTCATTACATTAGCATTATCTTATTGCCACCACTGTTATCATACTCAGGAAGACTGGAAGGAGGGAAGATCTAAGAAATACTTTCTTTTCCCTCTCATTTTCGTTCATAGTTCTGTGACAGCGGTATGATGAAACAAGCTTTTAATTGTGCATCAGATCTTTACATGGTGAAAATGCTACGAAAGAGCCAGAGCGGACCAATGAAATGGCAGGTGTATATGCACAGCAGTGTTTTGAGTTAGCCAAGGAACTGGGTCTGCGCTGTGTCGATCTATGGTCCAAGATGCAAGAATCAGAGGGTTGGCAGAAAAAGTATCTAAGGTCTGTGATAATATATGGCATTCAGTTTTAGAATGTTGTGAATGTAGATAATCATCTCGACCAGATCATCCTTGTAGATTAACTCCTTATATGAATATTAGAGATGCAGAGGCTTGATTGTGTTGTAATGACATTATAAGTTCAGTTTATGTCTATCTTTTATTGTTATTTCAGGCATGTTATTCTTCAAAAAGTAGAAGTAGGAAAAAGGAGCAGGGAGAGATTAAACTATAACTACTTTGGCATGTTCACAGAAAGTTACCTTTAGGGACATATAAGTGATATTTATGCAATCTCTTAGCAAGGTACTTAATATGTCTGTAAATGGTAACAATTAATACTAAGTTCTAAGTTTATCATAAGTTTTGGGCTTTGATTGTTTTTACGGTAACAGTTGCAGTCACAATAACCTGTTTGTCACTTTTGATACTTAATATGAGCCTGTAAAAGAAACAATTAATACTAACCTTTATGTGTATCTTAAGTTTTTGGCCATCGCTTCACTTTTATGGTAACAATTGCAGTCGCAATCGCCTGTTTCTAGACACGTATATTTATTAGTGTTGATAAAAAGTCCATACTAAGTAGAATATTATGCTAAATAAATAGCACATTTTATTAGTTAGAGTTCAAATAATAAAGTTATATCTTATAATTAGAATTCACGTAAATAAGGATAACTACTCT